TTTGGACTCTCATTCTGACGGCACCCATTCACTGCAGAGCATCCATTGCTGAGACACTGATGCAATGCTACATTTCTCCAAATCTGACGAAAAAGCAAACATCTTGGCTTTTCATCTTTAAGATTTGGTGCCACTAATCTGACCAATTTAAAGGAATAGGTCACTCAAAAATGAAAATATGCTGAAAATTTACTCGGGCCACAAGAATGTCATGTTTGTGTAATAACTTGGACTTTTAAGACTTGTAAATAGGAAACAAAATTGTTAATATTCATATTTTCTTTTCTATTTTTCTGTACAACCATTTGCAGACATGGCCTATTTTCATTTTTCCCATGGCAAAGGACAAAAATGTAATACATGCATTTGCTGGCTTGCGCAGTTTCATGTCCTTGGACGTAATTCATGCCTTTGTTGTTGTGTTTTTCTGCTCTCAGTATTCAGTCTGCACTCCCGATTTGAAGATGCCCTTAATTGCTTTCTCATTGTGACTAAGAACAAGATGCTTTTCATGTGAGGAATGACATGAGTGTCAGATTCGGTAGCATCAGGCTGTCATCCACCTCCACACTCAGACCAAGACATGAGTTTATTAGTGCAGCATGACCGCTGTGCTTTTGTTGACTTTGACAAATATGATGCAGGTTGTAAACAGATACTACAGCACTGCCGAATATATATATATATATATATATATACAGTATATGCCTAAATTTCACATTTACTTTTATGCATTTGGCAGACGGTTTTATCCAAAATGACTTGCATTGCATTCATGGTACACATTTTATTAGTTGTTGCTTTCACTTTACACAGTTTTAACCCAGGTTATTATTGTTAACTAAAGCTAAAACTAAAACAATAAAAACACTTTAATTACTTGAAATAAAATAAACATTGCACTGAAATAAAATAAAATATAAAAAAAAAATTTAAACGTGTTTTATTTCAGCAACAGTTCTCATTTTCGTTTAGTTTAAGCTGATCTACTAAAATAACTAAAACTAAACGGACTAAAACTAAAACTGTACACAAACCTAATTTATAAATAGGCCTATAAATAAATAAATAAATAAACTAATAAAAATGACAAATTATGACAACAACATTACTAAAACTTTAACCAAAATTAAAGTGAAAAAGGAAAATATAAAAATAAAATCTAATTCAAAATATTAACAAAACCTATAATATATCAGTGATAATAACACAGGTTTTAACATAAACTAATAATAATAAAAATAATAGTCTTAATGTGATGCATATATTTGTCAGTCATGCATTAATGAAGCAGGTCAGATTTCTGTAATAGTACTTTTAATAAACTAGATGTGTTTTAAAATACACAGGTTTATATATTTATCATCGATAAGTCCAATTTGTTTCATTTTTATACATTTTAATTAATTAAATATTGCATGTTCTTCAGCTAGTCATATTTTCATACTTTTATCTGAATAAATGTAATTGTTTATCAATGAACAGACTCTAAGCAATTTGAATAAATGCATTTTGAAGCTATTATTATTTAAATAAAATCAAATGGATGCAAATCGTTAGTAAATATGCCACAATTTTTTTTTTTTTTGAGTGCAGAAATCGTACCCGTTTCATTTATGTATGCTTGACAAATATGCATCACGTTAAGTTTATTAGTTTGTTTTTGTTCAAATGTGCAATCCAAATGCAATTCAGAAACATAAATCTTAAATTTAGGCGTAAATATTACGTTTTTCAGTCAGATTATGTTCTGTTTTGGGCCATTCTGCACTTCATTACCAGTGAAACAACCTAGTTGACTGATTTTTAGATTTGGTGGCTTTTTTGAAAAAATACAGGAGCAGTTTATTTTTATGTTGTGCCATAGCCTTGCAATAACAACAACAACAAAAATATATATATATATTTTTTTTTGACAGTGATTGCTGTTGATGCTGCACAGTTCAGCAGCACAAACGCCTGATACTCGAGGGACTGAAAATGTAAAAAATATAATAATTTATATATGCTCACACATTTATATAAAACAGCCCACACAAGTGAGATCTCTGCGCTTTCTCCGGTGAGATTTCCCAGTGAGATTTGCTCTCTAACAAATCTTAGAAGTTGACACCTGTAAAGATTTGCAAGTAAACACTGCTGTGTTTCCATGTTTCTACAGAAATATCCCAAACTATGTTATTAGCATGATTCTTCCTGAATAAAGTCAGACTTTAGAGCATAATATAACTTATATATAATATAAACGTTTTTGCACTAAAAGCCAGTATGTACACCAGCCAGTTTTTGGCCAATTTGGGATTATAAACGAAGCCAATAATTGCGTTGACTTGGCCGATTGATAAAAGTGTTATTTTTTCTTTGAATCAATTCCAAAATCTCCCGACAGCCAACATTTTTAATGAATTTTGAGTACATATTGTCTAAATGTTCATTTCATTTTGGCAATTTTGTGTAAAGCTCATTTGCCATATTTTATTATGAATGCATCGCCATCAGCAGCTCTACTTTCTAGATATCAGCATTAAATCCATTACTAAAAGACTTTATTCTCATGAACTCTGTCTTCATCTTGTCAAATCACAATCTCGTGCATGAGGGAAATGGTATTATTATTAATTTTTTATCAGGCTGCCTGAAAACAAAGTCATGTTTACAAGGTACAACGTTGATACAACAAGCGTTTTGAGGGGAACAAGTTCACCAGGTTAGTGACGTGAAATCTTTGAAAGACAGTGAATGATTTTTATTTGACGCACTTAATAGCAAGTAAACATGTATATTCTGCTTAGTTTAAAATTTAAAAAAAATCAGGACTTGCACTACTGGTCATAAGTTTGGAATAATTACGATTTTTATTGATTACGATGTTCTTGAAAGAAGTATCTTCTGCTCACCAAGGCTGCATTTATTTAATCTAAAATACAGTAAAAATTGTGAAATAGTATTAAAATGTAAAATAACTGTTTTCTATGTGAATATATTGTAAAATGTAATTGATTCCTGTAATGTAAAACTGACTTTTCAGCAGCAATAACAGTATTTAAGTCTTCAGTGTCACATGATCCTTCCCTTAATACAATCTCTACACATTTACTGCTATTTTTTGTGTATTTCTGTACAAACATTTTTTGGAGACAGCTACACCATTAAATTTTTTTTTCTCCATGGCAGTCTATTATTGCGCTCTAATCTATTTCAGATAAACTCGCCTCCGAAAAGCACATAAAAACAAAATGAACTAGTGCCTCTAGATATCGCCATAAGCATTAAAAAATCCATATCAGCCATAAAGCTTCATACTCTGAGACTCTAGTCTACATCTAGTCAAATCATAGTCCCACGCAGGGAAACGGCATATTTCATGCTGTGCACAATGATACGAATGTGTGATATGAATATGAAGCAGTTTCTGTATTTGTTGCATCTGCTTAATATGATGGGCAGAAGATAGAAATGCCTTTTAATTACAGATGCATCAGAGAAGTGTTGATGTGTAGTTTTATTACATATGGATCACACAATGACCGTTCTTTTGGACGTGATTGAGTAAATGATGCATCAGTGCACAATGTGTAACTAGAATTCAGTGTAGCATCTACTCACCCTCAGGCCATCCAAGATTAGGATGAGTGTGTTTCTTCATCAGATTTGGAGAAATGTAGCATTGCATCAGTGTCTCAGCAATGGATGCTCTGCAGTGAATGGGTGCCATCAGAATGAGAGTCCAAACAGCTGATAAAAACATCACAATAATCCGACCGATGTTTGTTTGTTTGTTTTTGCATCTATCGAACGCTTCGCTTGACATAAAAGATGAAGATGTTTTTACTAATTGTTAATTATCGTACTAACCATTTTGAGTCACAAGATGACGCAATTAGTAATTAGTGTGAGGATCCAAACTTATGATGCGTTCAAGTCCTTCTGCGAAGTCGTAATTACAACGTCACGTGCGTTGAAATCGCTTTGTTATGAGCAAGATGGTGATTTTTTTAGCAAAAAATATAGCAAGGTATTTTACCTCCACTTAGATAAAATGATGAATAAAGAATGGGCATCGCAATTGTACAATGCTGTCATATTTTGTGCATGCAACAGCTAGTTTTATTGTTTGTTTGTTTTTACAATTTTACTGTCAACTACATAAACTGCATCCACTGCATCAAACCGTGCTTTATCACTGACAAATCAGAAAATCCAGAGTTTCTTACGTGTAATTACAACATTGTGATGCTGTGAATTCAACTCATAAATACAATCTTTCCGACATGACTTGAATGCACCATTAGTTCACTATGTGCACAATTAAGCGTAAATAAATGCGATGGCTCTATGGAATTATTTACTTTTTTACCTGTAAGACAGGACTTAAGCCACCATACTGAGCAATGCAATTTTTTCCTATTCAGTGAAATACAAGTGGACTGTCTACTCCCGTCATAACATCTGATATTACTGAGTCAGAACAGTAGCATTGAAGCAGTGGCTTCAGTAACACAGATGTCATCATGCATATCGCTTGTTTTGGCTTTAGTATATGTACAGCTGGCAGCTGTCAGCCTACAGTTATATTTGAACCCACTGTGCATCTTCTACAATATGAGATCAAATCAAATTTAGATGCTTTTTAGTACGGTGTCTCTCAGCTGGTTCTGCTTCAGAACCCAGAGTTTACATTGTGCATCAAGTGGCGACACCGCTTTTTGTTTGCACAAAAGTAAAGAAAAATGTCCTTTAAATCAAACATTGAAATGCACTAGTATGAACTGCATAGACCCACAATATGCAACAATTCTTAAAATGACATAAGCTAATTGGTTTCTAAATATTTCTTGAATATCAGGTTGTGTATATTACACAAAAAATATTTTTCTTACTTGGTATTTCTGTCTTGTTTTCCAGTACAAATATCTAAATATTCATAAATCGAGATACATATATGTGAGAAGCAAAATGACTTAAGATATTAAGTCTTGTTTTTGTAAAAATGTATCAAAATGAAGTGTCAACCACCATCCATCGTCATGAACATGCATATGTGGATATTGGCCATACTGTCCTTCGCCACGTTTTTCACCTTAATTGAGATGTTCGACAATTACGGGGATATATGTACAGGCCTGTGCGTCTGCGAAGAAAGAGACGGGATTTTTACAGCCAGCTGTGAAAACAGAGGAATTAACAATCTGTCTGAGGTAACGCCTTTACACTTCACTGCTTATCATCTTCTGCTCACAGGGAATCTGTTAAAGAAAGTCTCCCTCAACGATTTCGTTCATTATGAAGGACTCACCATTTTACACCTAGGCAACAACGATATATCAGAAATCGAAGGCGGCGCATTTAACGGACTCCAGGGATTAAAACGCCTGCATCTAAACAATAACAAAATCGAGGCACTAAAGGACGACACGTTCCTCGGACTTGAAAGCCTGGAGTACCTACAGATTGACTATAATTATATTAGCCACGTTGAAGCGAAAGCCCTGAGCGATTTACGTCACTTAGAGGTGCTCATCCTCAATGACAATTTGCTATCCGCTCTGCCAAACAACATCTTTCAGTATGTTCCTTTAACTCATCTCGACCTGAGAGGCAATCAACTCAAAGTGCTTCCCTATATCGGCCTTCTGGAGCACCTGAGTCACATTGTGGAGTTACAGCTTGAAGAAAACCCGTGGAGTTGTTCTTGCGAATTAATTACGCTAAAAGCCTGGCTTGAAAGCATATCCTACACAGCTTTAGTCGGAGATGTGGTTTGTGAGACTCCCTTCCGATTGCACGGACGAGACCTCGACGAAATCTCAAAGCAAGAACTGTGTCCCCGCAGAGCCATCGCCGAATACGAAATGCGAGCAGAACCGGCTCACAGCAGCGAGATCCTCTACAAAACCACGTCAGCGACGTTCACAGCGGGATTTGCGTCCTCGACCATCCTGCGTGCCACAAAAAGCAGCCGCTTGTCGGGAAAACTCCGTGTCAAACCCACTTCTCGCTCGTCCTCTAGCAAGCCGCAGAATTACGGGCCAATGTTGGCCTACCAAACCAAATCTCCGGTTACGTTAGACTGTCCCAACACATGCACATGCAATCTCCAAATCTCAGACCTCGGGTTGAACGTCAACTGCCAAGAGCGGAAAATCGAAAGCATCTCGGATCTTGATCCCAAGCCGTACAACCCCAAAAAAATTTACTTAACCGGAAACTATATCTCTTCGGTGTGCAGTTCCGACTTCAATGGCGCAACCGGATTGGATTTGCTCCACTTAGGCAACAACCGCATAGCGGTCATTCATATACCAAGTAAGAAAATTATTTTTGCAGTGCATCTGTCCAATTTGATTATCAGGAACTTTACAAGTTTTGTCTTCTCTTTTAAATAGTTGTATTATTTTGATATTATGCATGCTTATATAGTGAGTTGCATTTTATTATTTGCATTTAGCATTGGTTTTATATGCTGAATTGATATTGTTCATGAATTAACCTTGCATTTTTCTCTTTTCAGATGACAGCACACATCTCTACTCAACCACCATCCATCGTCATGAACATGCATATGTGGATATTGGCCATACTGTCCTTCGCCACGTTTTTCACCTTAATTGAGATGTTCGACAATTACGGGGATATATGTACAGGCCTGTGCGTCTGCGAAGAAAGAGACGGGATTTTTACAGCCAGCTGTGAAAACAGAGGAATTAACAATCTGTCTGAGGTAACACCTTTACACTTCACTGCTTATCATCTTCTGCTCACAGGGAATCTGTTAAAGAAAGTCTCGCTCAACGATTTCGTTCATTATGAAGGACTCACCATTTTACACCTAGGCAACAACGATATATCAGAAATCGAAGGCGGCGCATTTAACGGACTCCAGGGATTAAAACGCCTGCATCTAAACAATAACAAAATCGAGGCACTAAAGGACGACACGTTCCTCGGACTTGAAAGCCTGGAGTACCTACAGATTGACTATAATTATATTAGCCACGTTGAAGCGAAAGCCCTGAGCGATTTACGTCACTTAGAGGTGCTCATCCTCAATGACAATTTGCTATCCGCTCTGCCAAACAACATCTTTCAGTATGTTCCTTTAACTCATCTCGACCTGAGAGGCAATCAACTCAAAGTGCTTCCCTATATCGGCCTTCTGGAGCACCTGAGTCACATTGTGGAGTTACAGCTTGAAGAAAACCCGTGGAGTTGTTCTTGCGAATTAATTACGCTAAAAGCCTGGCTTGAAAGCATATCCTACACAGCTTTAGTCGGAGATGTGGTTTGTGAGACTCCCTTCCGATTGCACGGACGAGACCTCGACGAAATCTCAAAGCAAGAACTGTGTCCCCGCAGAGCCATCGCCGAATACGAAATGCGAGCAGAACCGGCTCACAGCAGCGAGATCCTCTACAAAACCACGTCAGCGACGTTCACAGCGGGATTTGCGTCCTCGACCATCCTGCGTGCCACAAAAAGCAGCCGCTTGTCGGGAAAACTCCGTGTCAAACCCACTTCTCGCTCGTCCTCTAGCAAGCCGCAGAATTACGGGCCAATGTTGGCCTACCAAACCAAATCTCCGGTTACGTTAGACTGTCCCAACACATGCACATGCAATCTCCAAATCTCAGACCTCGGGTTGAACGTCAACTGCCAAGAGCGGAAAATCGAAAGCATCTCGGATCTTGATCCCAAGCCGTACAATCCAAAAAAGATGTACCTGACCGGAAACTACATCTCTTCGGTGTGCAGTTCCGACTTCAATGGCGCAACCGGATTGGATTTGCTCCACTTAGGCAACAACCGCATAGCGGTCATTCATGATAGGACATTCGGCCAGCTTATACACTTAAGAAGGCTTTACTTAAACGGCAACTTAATCGAGCGGCTCACCGAGGATATGTTTTACGGTCTACAAAGCTTGCAGTTTCTGTATTTGGAGTATAACGTTATTCGAGAGATCGCAGTTGTCGCCTTCCAGCAGGTGCCCAATCTTCAATTGCTGTTTCTCAACAACAACCTCCTCAAGACTCTACCACTGGGAGTCTTTGATGAATTAAGACTAGCTCGATTGAATCTGCGCAGCAACCACTTCCGAACTCTTCCGGTCGCCGGCGTCCTCGAAGACCTAACGTCACTGCTGCAGATCGATCTCTTCGAGAACCCTTGGGATTGCTCGTGCCTCGCGGTGGAGATGAAAAACTGGTTGGAGCAGCTCAGCACCGGTACTATGGTGAACAGCGTCGTTTGCGAATCTCCGTTGAGTGTCTCGGGAGAGGATATGCGGTACGTTCACGCGTCTCATCTCTGCCCGGAAAGCTCAAATGCGCAATCTTCCGTCGTGCCTCCCTCGGAGGAATCCTTTCCTGGTAGTACTATCACTTTAGAATCAGCCTTGGATTATGACACACAGTATCCCGCGGTCCCCCTTTCTGTTCTTATACTCGCCTTGCTGCTCCTTTTTATATTATCCGTGTTCGTCGCCGCTGGGTTGTTTGCTGTCATAATGAAGCGGCGTAAAAAGTCTGAACGCCTGGCTTCGGTAACCGCCAATGCGAGCTCCTTCAATGCAATCTACACCGACAGAGCGAAGTCTAGAACATCGACGGGCCACGTCTACGAGTACATCCCATCCGCAGCAGAAAGCGGTGCGAAAAACAGCCTTTATAGTGAGGGAAGAGCAATCGAGAGTTACAGAGACTTCGAAGAACTCAATAGAGTTCTGGCATCCAATTCGGATGAAGACGTCGGGAGCAACGCGATAAGCTCCGAGTTCAGCGCCGGCACTCCAGACGCGCTCAACAGACACTCTCCTCTCTTGGACGACAACTACTTTTACCGAGATATCTTGGCTAGGGACCAGCAGGCCTCTTACAGGGGTAATTTAGCATGTAAGCATGGCACACATGCATCAGCTCACTGCGCGCCAGACTTTGATGTGAGACATCAATACTTGAATCCAGAAAGGGTACAGCAGACCATGGTGTACTGCTCGATGCCAAACACCGTCTGCATAGAGCCCAACAGAAGCGAATACTGGGAACTGAAAGCCAAGCTTCATTTCGAACCGGACTATTTAGAGGTTCATGAGAAAAGGACGACCTTCACACAGTTCTGAAACATGGATTTTTCTTAACTTTTTTTTTTACATTTTATCTGAGAGATATTAGGGTGAATCTCACAAAAATATGATTGCACCTCAAAATTCAAAAGAAAGAACATTTGTTATTTTTATATTTTATAAATGTATATTTTATTTATATTTGCATAGAGAGAATGAAGCCTATTTATTACTATTATTTAAAATATATATATATATTTTTTTTTTTGCATTTATTTATTTTATTTTGCATTGCACTGTAAAATATGGATAATGCCAAGACATTATCCATGAAATTTATGGACAATTCTGTTAACCCTAAAACACAAAGCAATGAAGTGCAAAATTCAAAATACAGGTAAAAAGACTGTAAAAAATAAATACTGAAAAAAATTCCTTTTCATTTTAATTCAGTTTAGCTTGATGTACTAAAATAAATAAACTAAAATATAAAAAATTAAAATGAATAAAAAAATATATAGAAAAAAATGATAAAAATGACAAAAACACTAAATACAATTTTAGCTAAAATTAAAATGAAAATGGAAAATATAAAAATTAAAGCCAATCCAAAATGTTTCTTGAGCAGTAAAGCAGCATATTAGAATGATTTCTGAAGAATCATGTGACAC